TACTAGGAGCAAGGATGCTACTAGGGGCTCCTGGCCTTACTACTAGGAGCAAGGATGCTACTAGGGGCTCCTGGCCTTACTACTAGGAGCAAGGATGCTACTAGGGGCTCCTGGCCTTACTACTAGAAGCAAGGATGCTACTAGGGGCTCCTGGCATCGCTACTAGGAGCATTCTTACTACTAGTAACAAGAAGCAGCCTTACTCTCAGGTGCTTTTTTCACCGGCCTCCTCACCAGGGCCTCCGGACGCCTCCTCACCTCCACTCATGCGAATCACGAAACGAAGGAAGTTGATCCCAGAGGCCACCTGGAGATTCCCGTGGCACTGAGAGAAGGAAACCGAACAGAACACCAAGCATCACAGCGACCGAACAGAGAGCGGAAAGGTACATACAGACTTGCTAAGGAACACGCCACATCAGCTGGATCCGAGATGCAAACAGTTCAAAGCAAGGTCAAAGTTTTCTTGAAGTAATTGGTGCGATTACTAGATGAGTCATTGCGGTTCATTCATGCGCAATGAAGAACAGAATAGTTTACTGCATATTTCGACTTGACTTGACCCACTGCCATATCAGTCGGGAGGCCACGAAGATCAGGTTGGCACCACAGAAGAAGAACAGCAAAGTCCTGGCAGGTCACATGCAAGGCCTTGCAAGTTTGACAGGTGCGTACGTCCTCAAATCTCTTCGTTTCTTCCTCCTACGAGCTCCATCAAGACTCCAAAACAGCTATCTATTCCAAGACTCCAGCTGTGCATTCGGCATGAGTTTCAGATCACTTTACCCTTCATGTCAGCAGACAGTCACTCAATTCAACAAATTGGACTCGGGGACGATCAGGGCAACTAGGAACACGTGGGAAGAAGTACCGTTCAGCTGCGGGCACATAACCTTGAGATGCTCTCCAACTTCGGGGAAGCTTTGAAAAACTTTGCGCCAGCAAGTCCTTGCTAGGAACGGGCAATCTAAGACTCTCCTCCATTCCATTGAAGAGACAGTGGGTGTGTCTCACAACGAGCAATCCTGAAGCCGTGTCTCTTTTCCCTGCGGCATCCTTGGATTTGGTTCATACACCCAGATCAGCCACAAGCAGTCCTATGTGTATACAAAGCTCCATAGTACCCGCAAGCCGGGATACTGAGCTCAATGATCAGCCTCACGGTGTCGGTGTGGTGTCGGTGTGGTGTGATGTCGGCAACTTCTCAAAGAGCTGAGTGCTGATGTCTGGAGCACCAGAGCTAAGAGCTAGCAAAAGGTTGTAAATATGCAAGTCGGTTATTTTATACTGTATGTTTCAAGCCGTTTTGAATACTTTGACATGTTGTTACTACCAACACGAGCTAACTTTGCCTGCAGTCCACTGGTCTGTCGGCCACTTCAAACTGGATTCTGCTTCCCCATTGAATACAACTGCTCCACTATGCGCTGCATGTTCACCTCTCTTTTGTTAGAGGTTCCTGCAACAAGGTCCACTCACACCTCCGGTGTGGTTCATCAACCCTCACAGGCTTCCGCACTGACTACAGCCCGACCAAAGCTCGTCCGGCGAGTTCGGATTACCTCCAGCTCGTTGTGGGGTCCGAGGCGGCGCAACAGCATGCGACACAGCATGTATCATGAAGCTAGCATCAACCCACCTATTTTTCCTCCAACAAAGCGCCACTGGCCCATTATCCACGCTGAACAAAAAGCACTTTGGACATCAACAGACTTGTAGAAGCCAACCGTTTCCGCTCTTGAAGACTCAGCAGCACCACTGTAAGCCCGGCCGGAACCAGCATGGGTATCTCGTCCCAAATAAGCGGCCCCAAACAAGCCGCCAGCTCCGTGCGTGGGGGAAAAAAAGAAAGGTCTGTGGCCTGGATCACTGTATTGCCCAAGAAGTAATCGTGCAATGAAGGCGCAAATGTAGTAGGTGCAACCTGAGGACGTTTGTTTTCGGCACGTCCCGAATCCCCACCGGCAGCCCAGAGAGGTGTGGCACAGGGTTGGGAGCACAGTTACTCACGTTGAATATGGTTTGTGTGTGTAGGGTATGTGATGTGTATTTGGGAGCCCTAGGCTTGTAAGTGTGCTGAAAGAAATCATTTGCAAGCTGTGTGAAAAGGAAACTTGCACTTAGAAGGAAAGACGAGAGCAAAAATTCATGCTTTTGGAAAGCGGAGTTGGTATTGGAGGCAGCCAACTGTGGTCGCAGAAAAAGGTTTTTTACAACCAAATGCCTGTGCAAGCTCTCTCAAGCGAAAGACGAGTGCCAGGCTACGGAACCCTCTATATAGACCCGTGGCATGGCTAGGCCAAGTGTTCTATTCCTGGATGAGTCCTGCCCAGCTCACTCTCAGCGCTCTCGGTCGGTGGGAGTCCAGGCTAATCACAGAGAGTATGATCACCCGCTTGACGGCCTTCCGAGGTTCCACCGAGAAATCTCCAAGTGAACAGACAAGGCAAGGGTTGCTAGGTCAAGACCAATCTGGAAGGAATGGCCTCCAACCTAATAGCGATGGCCTCCAACCCAATATGTAGTCAAAACCAATGTGTTGGTAAAGTCTTCGTGATGGATTGTCGTTCGAGAGGCGTTCTTTGTGGACCAAAAACCTGCCAATGCGCTTCACACAAGAACAAGCAGCTCAACACTCTGAAAACATGCAACCTCAGAAAATGATCCCTTTTTGCAAGAGTGCATTCCTGGGACAGCTCGCTTCATTCTGTTGGGGCATCCCATCTGTACGCTCGCTGTCAGCTTGCTCCATGCACGTGGCCAGGCTCACGCTTGCATGGAGCAGGCTCTTATGACGAAGCCTCACCTGGTAACTGGACCAAGTGGACAAGGACGAATTAAGATCTTTTTGCCTCTTTCGGCCTTTCCGGCAAAATGGGGCCTGGCACTGAACGCTCATGGAACCGTGCCACCATCTCTGTGCTGAGTGCCAAGGGGATTCATATTGTCTGAAGTGACTCTTAGATGTCATCCACTTCATGATGGAGAGATCTTATTGTCTGATGATGGGCACTGATGGGTGAAGTGTCTGATCCCTCCAAAAATGATTTCTCCACCCCAAGGCGCTGAATTGAGCGATCCTGAAAGGACCACAAAAATGGCTTCACAAGAGAGAGTCGAGCGAGCCACATGAACAACAAGGTGATACGTGAACAAAGACCACCACTTTGTGCAAGAAGAATGGTTACTTCATCACACATTTCTCAAAATGCTTCCTTGGCTCGATCATGGAACCGCTCACGCACGATCTCCGGCAGATGACAGCAAAGCGAGGACCTGAACGGCCCACTTCGCTTGGATATGGGAGACCCCTGGTCCCAAAATGAACCAAACGGAATGACCGGGGACGTCAACCTGCCATTTCTTTTGTGGAGTTCCTTGCTTACACACATATCAAGCCCGGCTCCCTTGCCAGCCAGGTCAACGGTCATTGACTGTGGTTCCTATGAGTCACTATGGGACAAGCATCTTCTGCGAACAAAGCCAAAAACACAAGGGCAGCAAAGGACAGCAGGCACCAATGCAATAGACGAAAGGTGCTTCTAAGCACTGTTTTGGGGTTTGGGGTTTGACCCTTTCCCATTTGATGATGCCAATTTGTGGAAACTTTGGGAAATCATTGATGAACTAGGCGACGAGGGTAGCATTGCAACATATCACATGTCCGAAAAAATCGAAGCTGGCACCTCTTTGTGAGAGTCGGCCTTCTTCTTCTTCATGACCACCTGCCGTCGAACGAGAAAAGAAAGCAGCACCATGGAAAACAAATTGTCCAACGTTGAGAAAACAAAAAACTGTTGATCCAGTCACCCACCTCCAGTGCTGTCTTCCCGGCGGAGTTCTTCTGTGCTGGGTTGGCTCCTTGCTCAAGAAGCCCTCCCACCTTGGTCAATTCGACCCAAAGATCCCAAGGTGTTGCGGTTCTCAGTGGCATGGCCGGCATGGCCAGGTGAACGGCAAGTCTCCGACCCCAGGTCCACTCACCGAGCTTCGGACAATCTTAGCATTGCCAGATTCGGCGGCTTTGTGCAATGGGTACGTGGTGCTGAAGAGGGACTTCTTGGGATTGTTCACTCCAGTGAAGCCTCAACGCGAGGACGAGGGACGTCTCGCTGACTTTGGTGAGTCATGTGTTACGGGAGTGGACACGCTTTCTGTTACAGAACACAGCATCGATGGTGATCATATACGGCGAAATCGCCGAAATTCCGCATATCGATGGTGCCCTTTGTGGTGCTGACACAACCCTTTCAAGCAGTGTGGCGCTTGGACCTTTTGCAAACAACCCTCTTCAGCCAAATAAACACATTTGGAAAGAAAGAAAACTTGAAATGCCGAAAATGACAATCATGTCTCATAGACTCATAGACAAAATATGAACAATTGTCTAGATGTTTGAAGCCTTTGTGCATAGCTACAAAGTGGCTGCAGCACCAATGTTGGAATGTTTGAAGCGAATGAGGCCTTGCAGGTTGGTCCCAAAAAATCAAACAAAGTCAGCTGGTGACCAACCACCTTCACATTGACAATGGGTCAGAATGACAACCAAAATCATATATATATATACATATATATATACATATATATATATATAATACAGCTTCCAAGAAGTATATATTGACAGGTTCCAGGCTTCTGTAAGACTACTGTAACCCATCCGGAAAAGATCGTTGCCACACCATCACGTCAAACTCCGCATCCCATCTGCGTCCCACATGTGTCACACGAAAGTCCCTCGTGCCTTGCTTCTTGAGCCATGCCATCACGTCGTTCTTGCGTGCAGCCGCCTCCTGTGCGGGACGAAGCAGAATCATGCCGCTGCTGAGTGGCTGCGTCACCACCGCCACTCAACAGCTGATTCGACAATGTGCGTCAGTGCGTCGATCAAAACATGCCAATAGTCATTCTACTGCCATGGTATCGCTCTTCAAGGTTCCCTATCGTTCCACACAGTCCCAATCAAAAACAAAGAGTTCTACAATCTCTCTCAACCCGTAGGATTCTTTGTGGGTCCTCTTAGAAGCTCCCACATGAAAGTCATTGTTTCAACACAAGCTCTGCGCTACGTGGCATGAGGAAACACTGAGTTGTGGCTCTACATATGGGAAGGTGGCTGGTGAGGTATCGCTCCAGGCATCGCTTTGTATCAGTTTGGGAATGGGAGTTTTGCTCAAACGAAGGTGTTTCGGCCACCTTCCAGGGGCGGCCGCCGCATCCCCAGCTTTTTGATCGCTGAAAGCATGGAAAGCGCTGACAGCCCCTTTTTGAAAGAAACAACAGTGTCAGGGATCCAGAAATTCCAGGGCAAAGGTAGACTTCTAATGCTTGTCTAAGTTACACCTACACCTTTTGTACACTTACAGGTTTGTTCAGCTTTAACCAGAAGGTCATTGAAGCCACCAAATATTGGAGTAAATCTACAGTACAATCTTCTGTAATGCCAAGCAGTTAAATGGCTATCCCATTCCACAGCCACCCAGCACAGTGCCTGTTCCGCCTTTTCGGCAAGTTTCCTCTCGGATTCTGCAGCGGCAGCAGCATCCGCAACTTCCTAGAACAGCCCGCCAGCGGCAGGAACGATCATGGACAGCTCAGAAAGCAATGCAATCACAAAAGGGCATTGCTTGCTACTAGTAGTTTCTTGTTATTACTAGTAAGGCACCTTGTTACTAGTAGGTTCTTGTTCCTAGCAGTAATGCCAGGAGCTACTAGTAGCGCTGCGAGAAAGGGGGAATGAGTGACCCTTGCGCTTGATCAAGCCTGTAGCCTGAAAGACCCGAACACCAAACTCGAACACATTCAGCAAACGTGTTCCAAACAGATCATGTTCCAAACAGATCTAGTAAGACTGGAGCATGTTTAGTCTAGCTGGGCTAGAGCTCCAAAAGTGTTGTGTTGAGCCTTCGCCTTCTCCTCGTCTGCCTGTCGTTGGAGCTCCTGGAATTGGCTTGCAAAAAGGAAGCCGCAAGTTTAGCCCCAAATGATCTGCTTTCTCAATGATGGTTTCATGGATCCTTCATCGCTTAAAAGGGAGCGGGAGGAGTCCGCCTCGCACGCTCTGTTCCCGATCGGCCGTTCCTCCTGCTCCTTCCTGCGGCGCTCTTCTGCTTCCTTCTCCCGGCGAGCGGCCTCCTGGATTCGTCAGGAAGAAAACGAGAAACGTTTTTTTGATCCAGATGGATATAGGAAGGACCCTATATGTTATTCTGCCTGAAGATTCATCAACATCTGTAGGTAGATAGATCAATGAATCAAAGCGATGTTGCTTTCGTTTGCAAGTACGCTGGCACCTTGGACATTGGTGAGTCCATGGAGTCACATAGAACCCTAAAGATTGCTGCCGAAATATGAACACCCACTTTCTCTTTTACATATTTCGCCCTATGTCCACACAGAACTTCATATCTTCCAGACTCAGGTACACTCTGTAAACAAGGGAAAATAGAAAATGTGAAAAAAATGTAAAGAAAAGGCAACTAGGAAATGTAATTTTTGCAAAAAAGTTAAAAATAAACTTGCCACACTGAGTTGTAAAAATTACAGAAGGTGCTCACGTAGGAAACTACCTTCTTGGGAGCTTCCCAATGAAAAAACAACAATCTTGGGAGCTTCCCAATGAAAAAACAACAACAATAATCAAATGGTGTGTCTGGTACCCATTACAATGAGCCACAGCCAAGCCGAGCCTCAAAACAGCTGCTCAGCCTTGCTGGAACATTTGCACTTTTCTAGATTTCGCAGAATCCTGAAGCCTTGTGCCCCCCAGGCAGGCATCACACAACTGTAAGGCCCAAGCAAAACAAACAGACTGAAACAAGACTATCTCCCCCGATGACAATGTTTCTGTTTAGCTTGCGCGCGCATTATTTTTTGGTATATAGTGATTCTTTTCATTCTGGAGAGACACTTTGCAGGCCCACCAAGCTATCTTGAAACATGCTGTGCTGTTTGGAAGCGCGCTCAAGTTGTCCCTTGTCCTGCCAGGAGAATTTTTGCAGAAGGCGATTTCTGGCAGACTGAAAGGGAATATTAACTTGCTGCGCGCGTCCAGCGGGCCACTTCGGAGAAAAATGTAAAATTTGTTGCTACTGTTTCTGCGCGGCTGTCTTCTCCGCGTTGCCTTTGTGGCGCCCGCAATATTATCGCATTGTTCAAAAAATGCGCTTTCGAATTCGCATTTTTCTCACAGCTTTTAAAAATGTAATTTCGAATTCAGATGTTTTCGCGTTTTTTTTCGTATTTTTTTGCTTTTTTTCCTGTTTTCTTTTTTGTAGGTTGTCACATTTTCCTATTTTTTTCGCATTTCTGCACTTTGGAATGTTCATTTTACATGTTTGGTCGCATGGTTGATTCCCGCGATTTGAAATTTACAATTTTGGGTCGCATTTTTGGAAATTTTGCGAGTGCATTTTTGGAGCCGCAGTTCTCGTCTTTGGCTTGCAACCCGGAGAATCCCATGGCTGCTCCACGCAAAACGTCAATCTACGTACGGCGGCTCTGCCCGATTTCTCGGCGCAGCGCTGCGTTCAGGATTTATTTTGGGCTCCCCTGTAGCAAGTTTGCTTGGGGCAGGACTTCCCTACTGCAAGTTTGCGCCGTTCAACTGCCGCTGCTGGAAGCTTAGTTGTCATTGGCAGCCCTGTCGCTGCTGGAGAATACCAAGTCAAGAAGAATCACGGCCTCTACGAGGCTGGCAGGGAAGGAATGCCCTACACTGCACCCTCCCTGCCACAGTCAGAGGCATTCTCCAGCGCAGCCTGCAACCAGTTGCCTGCGAGCCAACACTGCCAAGTATCATTAAGGCAGCAAAAGAAAGAACTGCAAAAGAACCTTGAGGAGACTTCGGAGCAGCGTGACTAAAAATTGTACTCAGTTTTTGCTTCTGGCGGGGGAAGCTGATTAACTGCAGATTCGCAGGTTGCACTCTCCAAACGAGATCATATTGGCAGCCAGAGCATTTTTGTTGCTTGAAAAAACAGAGCACATGTTCACAAAATGTAAAATGCAATGGTTACATTTTTCTGGATTGTAGATTTGGCATTTACAGTTTAAGGTCACTTTTTCACACTTTTTTCATATGTTTAGTTTAATTGTTTGACGATACTACCTGGCCTGGTGATTTCAATTCTTAACCTCCTCTAGAGCCAGGCCCCACACCTCCTTCTTCAAGTTCTCCTCCTTGCGGCGCTGTTCCTCCTCCTCCACCTGGCCCGGAGGAATGAACCACACGCGCCGACTTCAACCCATCACGCCGTGAAGGATGACCGTCCATGATCCAACTCCGTCCAGGATCCAACTCATCTGACCCCGCCACGGCCGCCCCCCCAAGGAGGTGCCGCCTTTCGCTTCGCTTCGGCTTCCTGTCGACACAATCGCTTCGGAACCTTCATCGATCATTTCATCCAGCGTTTCAGTAGGTGTCATTCGAGGATAGCCTTCAACAAGTTGGACCTCTGAATGACACAAATGACTCGTCTACATCTTTTGTCTACATGAGCTGCGTGAAGCACCAGGACAGCAACAGCATGAGCTGCATGGCACCTCTGCAGCACGTTTCGAGAGGTCCTCCATGTTCACCTGCGTTCGGCCCAATGACCGGGTCATCTGTGCTTGGTGTCTTCCAACAAAGACGTCATATTCTAGACGTTCTAGAGCTTTACAATAGTACTGACGTCATGCTTCAACAAATGGTCAACTGTTTCCATCAAGGAACTCAAATGCTACTTAGAGGACTTACGAATGATTCCTGCTAGACTGCACTTTCAGTCCCTCTCCTTCACAGTGTTGGCGGAAGGGTTGGGAGGATTGCAGGCAGATGCGCAGCTGAAGTCAAACATGACAGGCCTGAGGCAAAGCTGCAATCTCACCAGCTTTTCAGGTGACGAAAAAAAACACATCAGACTTGAGGTAATGAGTATTTTCTCCTTTTGGTGCCTTAAGGACCTGTGTTGCTGAATGAATTGTGTCCCATGTCCTCACAACGAGCAAGTGCACGGGGGAAGCATTCAGCTTCATCAACTATACAGAACTGGGACCACAAGCGCCAGAATTACTATGTACCAAAGGTGTATGTCAGAATCTCCATCCTGGTCAGGCCACCTGTCGTGTCGGCTTCGCACCCTAAGTCTAAGGGCCCGACAGAAAGGCAGCAGAGCTTCTGTTCGGGTACCAAATGCTGATGGCTTGAGCACGAGACTGAGGACCGGCATGCAGCAAAGACCAACCAACTGAAAGTTGATCATGCAAAAATGCCCACCTCTTGTTTCGCAAACATAACACACCAAAAGAGCAAAGAAGAATTCTGTTCGACACGAGGGCCTTAATAATTGCAGCATCACCAGTTGGCACACCAAATGAAATGCCAAACTCCTGCCAGCATGTCGTTTCAGCTGTGAAGAAGCAAACTACCAACACTTGTCCTCAGCTTGGAGTCTTCGCAAGTCCAGCTCCTTATTCTCAGCCAGGCCACAACAACCCAGCTTGAGTTTGCCAATCTGTATTGTGTTTCAACTTTAATCCAAGAAAAGGCCACAAAATGACACAAGCTTGTGCAGAGCTGCTTGTGATGCAGGCACAGGCAATCCGAGCCAAGTCCGAATTGCAACCTGAGCACGTTCCCCAAAAATCAAGGAACTTGTAGGCACCCAAGATCTAAGTACTCATACATATACATTCACTTCCCAGGCTATATATGGTTGTGGGTTAAAACCGGGACTCCTGGTTGACTACGCAAAATGAACAGAATAGATTGCCAGGAAGATCAATCAGGGTTTAGGGCTCCGGGTTTTGACCCTTTTTCATGCCTAGCATATAAAGCTTCAGTAAGGCCTTAGTAAGGCTTATGTATTTGAACACATGGTCCTCGAGGTTCTCTAGGTATTGCCAAGATAGTTGTGTGAGCAACATGTACTTACGCTTGGCCCGCCACCTCACGCCGCGGGCCGGCAATTATCAATTACTGTATTGAAGATTGAGTACCAAAAGCAAAGCTGCCACACAAAGTCATTTGGCAAATGAGTGTGAAACAAGAATCCGCTACCAAGTACACCTCCACCAAGAAGGGACAAAAACATGGTCACCAAATGTCCATTGCAAGAGTTTGGTTCAAAATCCCACCCAAAATCACCTCAGCTCAATCCCCCACCCTCGGCCGAGCAACGTTGACGCGGCTGTGAAAACTCGGTCTTCGGGGCCCACTGGACTGGGCACTAGGATGTCATGGAATCAGAACATCAGATCTTGGTTGAACTTAGTATTGTTGGCAACTCACACACACACACACCACACCACACCATGTGCATATCACACCACACCGTTTCCACTCATGGATTGCATTTCACTTTAACCTTAATGGAATGGATTGCAGAAACTCCAGCCCATTCCCATGCCAACTCCAAATCATGCATGTCATTGCATACTTGTGAGAACACATGCATGCTCTCCATAACACACTGTACATATGTTTTAAAAGATCCTTATGCTCCATTTTGTTCAGCACAGGGCACCGTATCTACATTCTTTCCACAAAGCTGCGGCGGCATGTTCCCGCAAACCTCCAAAGAGATGCGTGGCTGTGCCCAAGGCATTGAGCGGTCCTTCATTCAAGACTAACAAAGACTCTCTGTGTTGGATTGGTGGTTTGATGTCAACAGGCGATTGTCTTCTGAATGTTTCATGTCAATGGCCTGAATTGAGTGGATTGGGTCCACCGCATCTGCCGTCTGCCCAGGCTCTGCCTCATCTGCACACAAACCGAATCTAACACTAAATGGGCGTCTAAGTTGTGGACATTTCTTTGGCTCACCACGATGGTAGCTTCCTGTCGGCAAAAGCAAGAAAACTGTCGTTCATTTCTTGCCAGCGTGATCAAAATTTGCCCGACCTCTGCTGGTGCTTCATCTGCAAGCCGAGCGCCATCAGACCTTAGTGGTGCCACCGAAAAAGGGAAACTCGGTACCACTCAATGTGCCTTCCCTGCAGATCCGAGCCACATTGGGCTCATCGGGGCGGCCACGGCGGCCACCCTGGTTTGCCCCAATTGAGGCATGCCACCATAAGCCAACCCTTTGGGCCAAAACCATGACGGACATCATGAAATCCAAATATGTTGGTAAGAAGTCCACGCGCCCCGAACCAAACTTACCTCAACATCCCACTTGCGTTCAAACCTCCACATGACCCCTGCTCTGCAAACGTCGAAGTTTTACTTCAAGGTGGGGAAATGTTGGTGTATTAGTTTAAAGCAAAAACTGCGTCGATGTTTTACTTTTCTACATGTGGCAGGAAGAAAAGATTTTGTGGGCTCTCATATCAGGCATTGAAGTAAAGTTTCCACATTGAAAGGCAGATGAAGCACAGTGGAAGCCTTGAGAGCGGCACAAATGTCCTCGCAAAATAGGACAGTCTTGGACTAAAATTCTGGTTTCCTGAGTGGGTGCTTTTTTTGGGGGGGATGAACTTCACGCGGATCTCACGGTAAAACATGGAATCTCATAAGAAAAACATACACATTCACGCCAACTTCACGGGTAGTTCACGCAACTTCACGAGAGGGGGCTCCACCCGGATCTCATGGAAATCTTCCAGAACGTACGAGACCTTCACCCCCAGTTCATGAGTATAGACAGTATAGACCTCAAGATACCTCAAAGATTCATGTTCATGTCTGGAAGTTCTTGTGAAACTGTATGGATCCAATTGATTCAATCACTGCATTTTGAACTGCTGGCATTTACAGAACTCTACGGCACCAATCCAATGGGTGTAGGGTTTGTTAAAGTCTTCTCAATTGACGCACAGCAAGGTGTCCAAGGTTGGATTGGTGTCCATCCTGTTTTTTGTTCTCCGTCGGGGCGTGCGGTGAGGTCAGGCCTCGCCTCGCTAAGGAAGTGAAGTAGGTAGGCGAGACAGAAAAGGGTGAAACAAAAAAGCAAAACAGAGCAATCCTACAGCCCGGCTCTTAGTAGTCTTGAGAAGAGACACACTTCTTGTGCAAAAAATAACTGGCACGGCAGTGGCTAATGGTCTGCAAGGGCATGTTATCAATCGCTCTTAGGTCTTTCGGGAGAATTTTCATAGCTCGGCATTCGAAGACTCGACATTTCCATGCAAAAACCCAAGTCCAAAAAACCGTACATGAAGACACGGCTGGAATCTGGCTTGCCCTTTGAGATCAATGACGATGAGCTAGAGCAATGGTACGTGTACACAGATGCTGCGTATCACCAGGATGATCACACTGGAGGACTGGGTGCCACTGGTGCTTAGATTTTTGGAAAGCTAAGCTCAAAGGACACCTGACTGTATGGTTCGGTGTCCGTACCCTTTGGCTCAAGACGTGTCGGCTCAAAACTCTCAGTAATAATCTGTTGAGTTAGGAGGATCAGGACTACTTCTTAAAGAGAAGAAGTTGTCTCCTGGCCGGTACTTAGTTAGGCTTGTTTTCTTCGACTCTGTGCGCATTCTTTCACTATTTTACCGCTGTGCGTTGTCCTTAGACATCGTACATACTCAAGTGGTGTCCTTAGACATCATTTGATTCGCAGACTTTGTCCGCCTTTACGCAAGCCTCCTCAAAGGGTGTCCTTAGACATCTTTTGTGAATTTTGTTCGGCCTTACTTGTTTAGCAGGGCTTTTCGTTCGAGTAATTCTTAAGATTTCTTGGTCGATTCGCTTTTCTGTCCTTGAAGGGGGTGTCCTTAGACATTACCTTCCCCTTTTTTCATTTGTTAGTTAGTCTCCTCTCGTGCTTCTCATTGAACTCGTGTCAATATGTCATCGAAGGAAGTGTTTTGTACCATTTCTCAGTTCGTTTATGATGATATTCTTGACTCTTTTGAAGCAAAAGGAGTTTTTGCGCAGCTTCGTCGGCCTTCCTTAGCTGCATCACCACGCATTTTCTTTCTCTGTCGTTTTCCTAGCATGGTAAATACTGAACGATCCAGTAGTAATCTTTTTGTAGTTGGTGAAGATGAGTTCAAGGATATCTATGCGGCTGTCTCAGGAAAACACCCGATTGATATCATCATCTATGGAATACAAAGTCGTCTACAAGAAAATATTTTGCAGCTCTATCATTCAAACAGTCAACTCCGGCACGTCCTTCTCTTTCATGAATGCTCTTTAAATGCCACGTGTGTTGACCTTGCCATTGGAGTCTGCACGTCTCTAAGGAGACATCGAGCCCATGTTCAGCAAATCAGCAAGTACAGAAGTTTTGAGTTTGCACAAGTTGGGCGCTCGCGTATCTTTACGAAATCGACATATTTCATTGCACTTAGTGAAGCTCGCAATGTAAACAGTTTTGAAGTTTATTCGCCAAGTCTGGAATATACTGAAACATGGCTTTGCTCCAGCAAATTCCTCACGCCACAGATTCAGGATACCATTACTGCGGTGCCGGGAGTCTTTCGATTTCGAGTGTATTCGCAAGATCCTCCCTTGCATACTGAACTTGGGGCTACAGATAGATGTTGCATCACTTTTGGCATTGCTGAGACCGAAGCTCACACAGTAGCTGATTCCCTTAAGGCCATTTATGCCTGTCTGAGCCAAGAAATCGCCACCCTTGCCCAGCAAGACCTCCAAAGAGTAACCCCCCTTTTTTGGAACATGCGATTTGGTGACGCCCCCACTTTCTATAATTACTATGCTGTCACCTTTTTCGATATTAGGTCATGCACGCAAGAAGAAAGATGGCGACTACAAGCCATTCTCATCGACATGGACATTCCATATTACATCCAGAAAAGACTGCTTCTTGTCATCTATGCGGAAGGAATAGAACTCGAAAACTTCCGATTGAGGATTTTCCAGGAACAGATCAAGATTCCGTTTGGCAAAGAAGAAGGCAGCCTGCAGTGTTCCTTTGTTGTCGGTGCTAGTAACAACCACTGGACAGTTGATTTCGACACGGCAGGAAGCGATCGCCATGAGGCCTTTCAAATTGAAGATGATGGATCGCTTGTTAAGAGTGATGGCCTTGTGGATCCTGGCTTTAGCAAAGAGCTGCAAAATGTCTTAGGTGCAATACAGATACGGCTTGCTATAGTACATGTGCAAGACAAAGGTCATCAGAAAGTTGTTGCTTTTATTGCAGCGCCTAATGTGTTGCCGCAAATACCTGGCATATTTATTGACCATAAAGCTCGAAAAAGAATCGTACACTATAAGCAGCCGGATGTTCATACTACAGAACGGACCTCCAACATCTATGTCAAAGAAACCAAGACAGATCACCATGTAGGTGCACACAACAAAGGCTTATGTCCGGGTGCCCGGCTCAGTGGACTTTTTCCACTGCCGGGTAATAGTATGTCACGCAGGAGGTTTGGCCAACTACAAGTCTTCAGTTTTGAAATTGGTAATCGAAATATTGCTGTAGATATGCTTGATGAAATTGTGCCGATTTGCCTTATAGAAGCTGAGCTTTCCATGCAAGAAGTTCCTCAACTTTTTGACATCTTAATGAGACAGAAGCATCTTCTCGATCATCATACGATTTTCCTTGAGTGTACTATGTCCAAACCGCCTCCCTATCAGTATGACAAAGAAGTCATCACGACCTTGCCTGAACATGAATGTATTGTCCACTGCCGAATTGAGAAAGGTCAGAAGCTGCAAGTTTTACAACCTCGATTTGAAAGGGGCAAAGTCTCACGATGTGTTAGCAATGCACTAGAGCTCAGTGTCTATGTTCGCTCTGATCTTCTTCTCTTTTTACCTGGACAAGTTGAGGTGCATGACATCTTTGGTAGTGCACCCTTTGGCCGTGTTTTATCTATTTGGCATAACAATCAGAAAGCCTCTGAAAGTCAAGTTTCACGGTCCACTACTGCCAAGTTTGTTACAAAAGGAACTAGCAACACGCTTAAGGCTGGCCAAAATGCCAAGAAAGATTTTTCTTTCACTGTTGGAGTTGCAGATGACAAACAATCTCCTACACGCTCCGTTCCATCTTCATCCGATCATAACCAAGATGCAGCTAGCCCATTACCCACTGAGCTTGATGTAACAGGCACCATATCTCAAGAGGATAATATCTCACCTAAGAATATGGCGAACCTGTCTGGTGAAGTCAATAAGGCAATGCAGGTTGATGAAAGCAATGACCTACGTACTGCAAACGAAGATGCCAACTTTGATCGTCCTGCAACCACTGATATCTCACAACGATCCCCAAAGGTTGATACTGAAATTGCCAAAGATTCTGCACCTCCCCAAGATAATGCTGTTATTCTGGTATCCCCAGAAGAAGATCCATCTGACAAAGGAGCATCGCAATGCTCTTCCGATTCTATGTTTTGTGAACAGGTGTATCAAGAGTTACAGCAGCAGTTGGGGGATGCTCAAGCCAAAGATAAAGAACGTCAAAACCTCTCGCCCAAGCGAGCAGGTATTACAGAAGATATCCCTGAAGCAAAGAAGCCCCCCAAAAGCAAATTTAGTGACTCACGGCAGAAATTGCCAAGGATGCCAGTTCCAAGGACTGCCCCAAAACGAGGTGATGGCCTTAGCCATCGTCTTGCAAAAACAGAGGTAACTGAACATCTTTCGTCTAATATTTCTGCCGACAAGAACCCGATCAATACAATCCTTCGAAACAAACGGCAACAATCACATCTTCACCATTTGAAGCAAATGATCTGCAGTGATGTCTCCCTTCAAAATATGGACTTCCAGGAAGAAGATCTCCATAGGGCTGTATCCTTATACGTAAATCTCAATGCCACTGCTTGTTTTTACACTGCAGCCCTGCGTATTGTCTCCAAGGCTAATTGGAACAAACAAGTAAACTTTGAAAACCACATTGGTCATCAAGCTATGGTTGCAATAGCCAAGGGCTGGACATGTGCGATTCAACTGCCTAATGATGACTTCGATCATTATCATTTGGCTCTGGCAATGTCCACTCTTCCTGAGGACACACATATGGATTTGCTTCGAACATATGAGGCAATTGTTGCCATCATTCCGCCTCCTTTTCATGATCTACTTGGCTCCAGGGTCTCCTTCGTCTGTAGGAATTGTTGCAAAACTACGGAACAAGATGTTGCAACGTTTATTGTCACTGGTCC